TTCAGTAAATGCATACTGCACAGCTATAGGATCCATTGCTAATGCCTGCCCCCCCGCCCGTTTTTCAAGGGTCAGCTGTGGTTGAAAACACAGGCAAACAGTGGTACACAAAGTAGTGTTGTCATAGCATCGTCTATAAGGTTGAAAAATTGGATGCAACAAAAAACACTTTAATGATGAATGATGAGGTACTCAAATGGTAGACTGTGCCCTTGAAACTAATGTTTGTGAGACTTGAATGTTCGGTGACTTAAAATTCCTTAGGAAGTCCTGAGCAAGAAAGGGATAAGTGTGTGTGTATTGGAACTTACCGTGTGCTCTCACTGGAAGTGTGTGGCCAAATCAGAGTTCCCCAGACTGTCACGGAAAACCTGGAAAACCTCCTTCCCTGTGCCCCCCCACTCCCTGGAGGCAATCCCCTACCACAGCTTCAAGGTGGAAAAGGAGCAACAGCTTGCTGTTCAAGTGCTGCAGGCCCACCTTGGATGGCTAGTTGCTTTGTTTTGTTTTACCTTGGAGGATCTCAGACAGCAGGAGGTGTAACGGCTTAATGGATCTCCGTGTACCCGGCACTCATCCTCAGGAATGATCAGCTCATGGCCAACTGACTTCTCACAAATCTCAGACTTCACACATCCTGTCATCTGTAGATATTTCAGTGTTGCCATTGACTTGTGAAGTTCTTTTTACCCTGCATACAAAAATCTGGTACTATAGTTGGTTGGGACAGAATGTACTTATTACCATGTTTTTCTTTTTTAATTGAAGTACAGTTGATTTATAGTGTTGCGTTAGTGTCTGGTGTACAGCCAAGTGATTCAGTTTTACGTATATATACATTCTTTTTCAGATTCTTTTCCAGTATAGTATATTACAAGATACTAAATATATTTTCCAGTGCTGTATAGTATATTTTAATACATAGTAGTTTGTATCTTATTAGCATGTTTTTTTTAATGTTGAGAAAAAAATTTAAACATGCAAATGTAAGCAGAATAATATAGTGACCATCTCTGGGTTTCGTCTCCCAGTTTTCAGTGATTGTTGATGTGAAGACTTGATTAATTTGTCTTTCCATACTGGATTATTTTACAGTAGTTCCTAGAGATGGAATTTCATCTGTAAGTACTGCAAATATATCTAGAAGATAATTTTATTTAAAATATTATTTAAAGGATAATTTCTTAACCTTATCTAACAGTCTTCAAATTTCCCAGATTGTCTCAAAAAGGATTTTTTTTTTCAGTCTTTTGTTTGAGATACCAAAATAAGATCTACACGCTAGGATGCTTCGTAAGTCTTTTTACATCTGTTGGAAGAAATTAATGTTTCTCATATCCTGGATTTTGCTGATTATATCCTTATGATGCAGTCTTTTTAATGTGTTTTCCCTTATATTTGAAATTTCCTGTAAGCTGGGAGTTAGATCTGGATGCAGGATGGTCAGAATCAGGTTCTCGTTTGACAGAGTAGTGCAGAGGTGGAGCTGGGCAGCGGCTGGCGCGTCACCTCGGCGGTGCGACGTCAGTGGACTGGAGCAGCCCGGGCAGCCTGGCTGCTGTTGCTCAGGCCCCCATCAGCCTGGGGCCGTGTGTGCCCAGCAGCAGTGAGGATTATTGCCTAGATCAGTTACGTCACTAGGGTTGCTGCTTGTCACTAATTGTAAAACACATAAGGTGTTCACGTGGTTCAGAGTTTGAGATACGAGAGGTATGTTGTGAAGCCTATCTTCTGCTCTGCTCTTCAGCCCCGTGATTGGCCCCAGAGGTAGCCAGGTGTTGAGTTTCTTCTCTTCCCTTTGGAGATTATGTGGAACCTGAGGGGTGTGCATCTCACTTTTCTTAAAACACAAGTAGCAGTCTCCCGGACACATGCTCTGTCTGCCTGCTCTTCCCTCATCTTGATTTAATTTTCAGCATATATCTCAGATTATTCCCTGTATAGTTAACTCCACCCTTTTTGTGGTGACACAGTGTTCCAGAGGCTGGGTGTCTGTCTGTTTTGTAGGACCAGTCGCCTGTTGATGGTCATAGTGCTGTAGGACACATCAGCACATCGTGAGCGTGTCTAGGAAAGATCCCTAGAGGCGGGAGTGTCCACCCAGAAAGGTTGTGCTTTGTCATTTTGGCGGCTAGTGCCACCATGCTCTCCAGAGGGTGAGTGCTGCCCCCAACGGCCCCTGGGAGTTCCCATTTTCACGTCTTCACTAACAGAGCAAGTTAACCAAACTTCCAGTTTTTGCCATTCAGAGAGGTCTAAGCAGGTATTTGTGGGCTTGACAAGGTTGTCATAAAGGTGTTTCTTTGTGTAGGTATACCCTGCCTAGACCCTCAACTTGAGCTGGTGGCTGGCACCCCCATCCAAAACTTGGGTTACCTGGGAGAAAGTACCTCACCATTTTCTCTTTCTAGTCCAGCACAGCCTCAGCCTGACCACCCCAGGACCTGGCCTTAGTTTCTTGAGAGAGTTGCACCAGGAGTTCCTTAGGAGAGGGAATAGGTCATCTGTGTAAATGCATCTCAAGTATCTCAACTTGGACGTGGACACACAAAGCGCCGTTGATTCACATTGACTTGCTGTGCAGAAAGGCTACAGGGCAGCGCGTTTCTTCACTGTTCACATGTGGAAAATGTAAAGATTTTTCTCTAATCAGTGAAAACACAGTTCACCTTTTCCCCACGTTGATTTCCTTTGAGATGTAACAGGTTTCTAGAGCAACACACCATCTCACCTAGTGGGACCACTGCTCTCTGTCTTACACGTGTGTAGTGTGGCAGTCACACGTGCTCTTAGGTCCGGGGTTAGAGTCCCTGTGCCCCTGGGCGAGGTACTTTGCCCTTTTCTAGTTTCTGTATACTGGGCTGGTGAGTACTGCCTCAGCTGTGAGGGCCAAGTGTAGGGACTGTGGAGTCAGATCGCAGAGGTCCTTGCCTCCTGACACTGTTCCTCAGGACTTTGGAGACTGTGCTTCCTTTCCTTCATCTGGGGGTTGGTGCCTGGAGAGCCGTCCTGAGGCACGTGTTTGCACTGACTCTTCTGCTGGCAGCACGGGCTCCTCTCAGGCTCGCCGGTGCTGCAGGGCAGGAGGGTCAGGGAGAGCACCTCACGTCTTGCGGGGGAGGGGGCAGCCTCAGCAGGAGTGAGACCTGTGCAGCCCTGTGAGCTCAGCCCCCCGAGCAGTATGTGGTTCATCACACCAGCCCTGAATGACAGAGTAGAGGTGCATGACTTCCTAGTAAAGTGGTAGGTTGTCAGTAGCACTTAATTTATAGGTTTGAATACCTTCTTTCTAAATTTTATTTTCATAATGTAAGCCTGCCCTTTGATTTAGGAACCAAAATGAAATTGAGAAGCACATTGAAGAGAAGGAGGGGCAGCAGAACAGAGCCATCTTTTAAGGAGCATTCAGTTGAGATGTCTCTGCATTCTGCCTGTTCTGTGCTGTGAAGTTTATCATTTAGTTGTTAGCTGATCAGATGTCTGCGTCCATAGCCAGTTTATATTCTGCGTAAGGTGCAGTGGTTCTTTGCTTGGTAAAGGCACTGGCAGAATTGCCCACTTGAGCCCTGATGAGTGGAGTCCTGGTTCCGTGTCGGGTGTGAGGTTGCTCTCTGGGGAGGCAGTAGAGGAACTCTCTGCCCAGGTCTCAGCACCTGTGCGCGGGTGGCCCTGGGGCCTCTCGGGCTGGTCTTCAGGAGCCTTTGTCCCCGTGAGCATGGGTGGTGCCTGACTTGCACTTTGATCCTGTCAAGTCCCCACCTTGTCAGCAGAGCTGGTCAGCTCTACATCCTTCCAGGAAATGCAGTTCATGCGTGCCAACAAATGCTGGTCACTGGCTTTCCTAATGATTTGATTTGAGCATAGTGAAATGTTCATCGAGAATATTTGAGGACCAATAACAGGAAGGAGGTCTTCAGCTCCAGGAGTGTGGAGTTGGGGAGTTTGCCTTGGTGGACTGCAGGTGTAGCGCTGTCAGAGAGCCTCTTCCCTGTCTTGACCAATGCCCAAGTGTGCTTTCCTTTGAAAAACGGGGACCCCACTGTCAGGCTGGTCCGTGCTGGGGACTCTCTTCAGACCACATCTGGAGGCAGGGACATAGGTCATCACTTCTTGGTCCCTTGACCTGACTTTCATCTGCCTTATTACCATTTGCACCCAGAGCTTTCCTCGCTTTCCTCGCTCTGCTCGCCCTCTCTAATCCCGTCACTGCTGCCGACATCACTTGCTGTCTGTGTAACACACCCCTGCGTCAGCAGCGTGGGGGCTGCTGCCCAGCACTGGTCCTAGCCTGGCAGTTGAAAAAGGGATGTCCTGTTTGTATGTGTATGAAGTTACGTTGGGGCCTGACTAGTCACAGCAAGTTAACTGCTTAGCATATATGACCACTTACTGATTAGTATTTTATTGTTTTCCACCAACTCTTTTCAGAGTGTCTTTTCCTTTATCTCTTTGGGTAAGTAGTAACCAGTTTTCCCACTGCTTTAGATGGTAGGTCACAACTGAACGTGTTCACCGCTCAAGTAACATTTGTTCTATTGTTTTGTTTTGAGGTGGAAGGGGGAACTCTACCCTCAGAACATGAGGGAATAATATTTACGTGGCTCACAAAGACCAGTGAGTACATCTGCGCCCCACGCCTCACCAGTGGAGGGCCTCTGACATCATAACACAGCCTAGCCTCTCCTGTCCCTCAGAACAGTTAGTCAGGACAGGTGTTTCAGCTTCCTTTAGAATTTCTTGAAATTGTTGAGGGATGGGGGTTCTTTGACACATTTGGAGATAAATCAGATGAAGACCATACTTGTGAATGGTCGTTTGGTTTAACAAAGCCCCTTGATTGAATGTGATTGTGGACATGTTAGCAGTAGTATAGCTTCAGATCTTCCCACTGAACCGAGAGGCCTTAAGAACCAACCCAGGACTGCATTTCCTATCGAACACGTGAGCTCTGAGGTTGCAGGCATGTCACTGACCGGAGCCCTCTGCCTCTCCTGAGCTAGGCGATGGATCACTTGGAGTCCTTCATCGCTGAGTGTGATCGGAGAACGGAACTTGCCAAGAAACGGCTGGCAGAGACGCAGGAGGAGATCAGTGCAGAAGTTTCTGCGAAGGTATGCGGGTAGGGAGGCCTCCACCTCAGGTGTCGGTATAGAAGCGGGGCTGGGACCTGTCAGTGCCGAGTGTGCATTACGGGGTGGACAGTGGGTGTCCACTGCCCTGGCTATTCGAGGTGAGGAGGGAAGCCGTCACCAGGCTCATAGCCCGTCACTGCATGGTGCATATGTCGTAAAGTTCCTTTATTAACATCCCTCCGCATAACAGGAAATGGGATAAGTTAGCAGGGAAATGGTTAAATTCTGGTGTGTCCGTGTCAGGGAGGAATAAGTAGGCCTGGTGAAATTGGCATGTACATCATTGAGAAGGCCTTGCCCCTCTTCAGTGGAGTTCTCTTCAGTGTTTTTTTCTCCTCTTTCAGTTTTATAAAAAGATTTCTTAGGAGATAGACAGTTTTTAAATAGCCCAGTGGTGCTGTTTATTTCTAAAAGAAACTCCCAGTAATTAGTAATTTTGCTTAAAGGGTAAGTAATGTATGTGTTTAGGCCCACACATTTTGTTACCCTCACCTGGCGACTGAGCTGTACTGTAAGGTATATAGAGTGACCGCCTGGAAGCTGGCCCACAGGACGGGCCTTACAGCCTGTGGGAGTGACAGGCGTGTGTCAGGCGTGTTGCCTCTGCTAGGATGCAGTGCAGAGGTCTTACGAGTTACGGTCTGACACTTAACGGTCGGTCTCAGTGGTGGCAGTATGGGCGTTGTAACTGTTAGAATTCACGTCATCAGTGAAGTTTCCAGCTGTTGGTGTATTCGTTGTGAAACAGCAGAAATTCAACAAGAGAAACACTCTTTGCATTAAAAAATCTTTTGTTTTTATTTTTTTAATTGGAGGATAATTGCTTTACAATGTTGTGTTGGTTTTTGCCATACAACAGCACAAATCAGTCATAACTACACACACACTTACCACCCTTTCAGCCTCCGTCCCAGCTCTCGTCTTTTGTTTTTAGATGTCTTCTTACGTGGCTGTCTCTTTTTCTCCAGGCAGAAAAAGTACATGAGTTGAATGAAGAAATAGGAAAGCTTCTTGCTAAAGCTGAGCAGCTGGGAGCTGAAGGAAATGTGGATGAATCACAGAAGATTCTCATGGAAGTGGAGAAAGTCCGTGCAAAGAAAAAAGAAGCTGAGGTTGGTGAGGAAAATGTTTTCAAGAGGGAGGAAACTTGGTAACTTCAGAGAGCTGACCATTGGACTAAAACGAAGTCATGCCTCCATTTTCTATTTCTATTTCTAATATTGGGGAGGAGTTGGAAATAGGGTGATCATGTCAGGATGGTACAATTTCAAGTCAGCGCACCCTGGGGTTTGTGTCTTCGCTGCTTGCTTGACCCCTGAGGCCTCAGACTGGGCACTTTGAGCTCTGAGCATCACTCCCGTGTGTAGAGTGTATCCTGAGCCTAGCTTGTCCGTGCTAGTGAGCACCTCCGGTCTCTGTCTGTCTGCTTCCAGGAAGGGCCCAGCGTGCAAGGTGTTCAGCTGATGTGATGGGGCCTGACTGGCTTTGCAGTTGCTCTGAAGAGAGGCCTCGGGTTGTTAATGATGCTGTGCCCTCGGGAGAGAGACTTGTGCAGGTTATGGGCACCACCCAGGTGGTGTCCTTGGGCGGCCAGGCCAGGACTCTGCTGTGTGGTGCAGAAGCTGAGTCCAGGACTGTCTGAACTGTTCCCTCTGTTGGGTTTTCTGCTTCTCAGATCCTTGCCACTGGAGTGGAAGTGGCCTGGATCGACTTCGAGAATGGTGGGAAGGTTGGAGTCAGGGATAGAGGGATGGGAGTGTACCTTTACTCCTCCTGTGGGCCAGGCAGAATGCATGTGAACACTGGCTAAGACTCACTCTGATGAAGATTGGCGCTCCAAAGAAATGGGGTCTCAGTTTAAGAGTGGCTTGGGGTGCAGGGCGTGTCCAGTTAGGGCAGGGTGACCCTGAAGGCCGTTTGCTGAGACCCAGACAGAAGATTGTTCGGATGGTGGATGGAGACGCGATGGAGGAGTGGGCAGCGTGCCAGTGCAGGGCCGGTTTTGATTGTTGCTGGTCCCCTGGCTCTTGGTGGCACCTGAGACGAAGTGGAGCTCAGTGATAACAGCTGAACACGTGAGTCCTGCCGAGTGCCCATTGAGGCAGTGACATGTGCATGTGGAGTCCCAGGTCCTGCATCAGAATCCTTATATACACACCTCTGTGCATTTAAAGGGAAAATTTGAGTATATGGAGTCAGGCTCCTTGGGTTGCTGACAGTACCCAGCAGAAAGGTCAGAGGGTCAGGAAGGAAGGAGCTCTGTAGCGTTTTAGTGAAACCTGAGGCCAAGCCTTCCTGCGTTGAGGAGCAGAGCAGACACCAGAAACCTGTGAGGTGGATCTGAGATTGGAAATAATGTAGATGTGGGGTTCACCACTTGGATGTCTGCAGACCGCCCCAAGGGCAGCAGGAGTCAATACACACGGGGACTCCAGGTGCCTTGCTCTGGCCACTGTCCCTTTGCTCATCACCTGAGTGCCCCCCTTACTTAAAACTTAACAGACAAGACAGGGTGGCTTGGAGGGGGCAAGCCTCCACTGTGCTGGTCTGGGTGGTGTCTGACCTGCCCTTAGTGGCAGACAAGACTGTTTGGTATCCTAAGAAGTGGAGATGGAGGGGCACTGTGTGCTTTTTACCCAGTTTGCCGCAGTGGTTCTGTCTTAAACTGTAACAGCATCCCACCCCAGAACAGCTGCCGAGTGACCCCTCAACACCTGTAGGTCCTGCCTGCTGCCACACCAGTCTGCCCTCCGTTCTCAGCATTTGCTTATTTTAAGAACATTGCATAATGGATTCACACAGTATGTAACCCTTAGGGATTGACTTTTTTTTCACTCAGCGTAGAATTTATTTTGAAGGATATTAGAGGATGGCATTCATAATTTCAAAACTACTGAAAGGTGTAGAATATTATCTCAGATAACTCTCACCCATCACGTTTAGTGTTTCTCGTTAAGCTGTTTGACTCTTTAGGAAAGAAGCAGCACTCTAATGGAAATCTGAGCTCACGGTGTTTCCCCTCTGGCCCCAGAGGCGTTGGTGTGCGTTTGTTGCACACCTGGGCTCATAAACCATGTGTGTTCCTAGGCAGGTGTGTAGGCGTCCCGCATTGGTGCTTCAGGTCCTCCCACTTGCATCGCCAGGCAGTGCTCTCCAGGCTGCTGTAGGCAGATGGGTTCAGTTTGTTCACTACTGCAGGACTGCCTTTTAGGGGCACATGGCTGTTTGTCCATGGGTGGTTTTCCAGGTCACTGATGGTTTCTCATCTCACGGCTGGTTCTGTGTGTCCAGCAATGTACTCATGTGAGGGGTGTTTCTGGTAATCCCACCTTTACAGACAGGCCGCCCCCCACAGTAACCGTGCTGCATGGGCGCCAGCGTCAGGGTATGCGAGGGCTTGGTATTATGTGTCTCCGTCAGTTTAGTGAGTGACATGATGTCTTATTTTAACCTGCATTTCTTAGGGAATGTTTTGAATGTGTGAATTAATGGAAGATTACTACATTATCTTCTCTTCAAGGACAGATGTTGAAACGCATCCCTCAACCTAGATTTTTGAAGGAGTGTGTTAATTTGAGCACAGGCAGCCATCAGTGTGTCCTGGGTCATTTTCTTTTGTATTCGTGTGTTTTCCTTTGAGGCAGAGTGGCTCCCTGTGATGAGACTGGACCCCACTGGCTGCTGGGCGGGGGTGGGGGGTATGTGTGCGCACTTTGTTCTGTTCCCTTAGGCACAGTTCCTCGTTTGAAGAGATGTCTGGTGTGTTTCTCCTTCCACATTTTAGGTTTCAGGGCTGCATTGGGCATTCCTGGATACTGGGACAGACTCTGTGGATGCTCTGTGTTTTGCCTGTCTGTCTGGTGTGATTAGGAGCGCTGTGAGGAGCCTGTAGCCTGGTCTTCACAGACCTCTCCGCCATCACAGGGACTCCCTTTCCCCATTGGCCTTTAGCACAGTCTCCCATGTGTCTCAGTGTTCTGAATATCCCTCACTGCTTTGAAATCATGACTCTTAGTTCATTTCTTAAATAAATAGTTTAAATTGGATTACAATTTAGTTACAATTTATTGAAATTAAATTACAATTTAATTACAAGTATCTGAAGCTTTGTAAATGATTCAGGTTTATGTATTTTGAAATCATCTTTAGGGAATTTCCTGGTGGTTCAGTGGTTAGTACTTGGCACTTCACTGCCAGGGCCTGGGGTTCAGTCTCTAGTCCGTGAATTAAAGTCCCACAAGGTGGGCAGCTAAAAATAAAAGTCACCTCCCTTCATGTACTTCCATTTTAGGGGTTGAGTGGACAGTGGCATTTGAGTTAACCTCACTTGGATCATTCTTTTCCCGCTCTCCAGGAAGAGTACAGAAATTCCATGCCTGCGTCCAGTTTTCAGCAACAGAAGCTTCGTGTCTGTGAGGTCTGTTCGGCTTACCTTGGCCTCCATGACAATGACCGTCGTCTTGCAGACCACTTCGGGGGCAAGTTACACTTGGGATTCATTCAGATCCGTGAGAAGCTCGATCAATTAAGGGTATGTTAATGTGCTGTGTTTCTGAAGAAGCCTGCAAAGTCGTAATCGTCTTTCTGTCTCTCTGCTTGTAGCAAACCTTGTGTTCTTTTTTTGTTGGTGGAGGTATCAGGCCTTGGTTTTATACTTTAGCTTTACAGTGAAGTTACTCAGGTGTCATCAGTGTTCCCTGAGATCTTAGACTCCAGCAGGGCCTGGGATGTTTGTTTAGTCTACTACCCATTCTTTACAGAGAATAATGGCAGAATTCATCCCAGGTACAGAGAACTCCTGCACCCCTCTGAAAACACTTCTCTTTGGAGGTGAGAGAGCCAGTAGCCTGTGGTTTTTCTCTGTGGGTGAAGGTGGACCTGTGGTCAGGCTAGAAGCATGAGAAGGTGACGGGGCTTTTTCTGGTGGCCCTGCCCCACGGCTGGATGCCTCTGTCCCTTCCTCGGGGCTTCTTATTTTCCTGGGTTAGACTACAGCATTTGATGTCATGGATATGGAATGCTGAGAAGGAAAGTTAAGCAACTTTGGGATAAGCTGAATTGTTTTCAGACTGATTCAGCCTGCCTAGCTGTATACTAGGATGCTGGGAAATATGCAGGCCTTTCCTCCAGAAGCCCGAAATCTGGAAGGACAGGTGTGGCCCCTAACGGTAGGCCACCTTGACAGTCAAGGCCTCAGGCCATGTGTGGCCCCAGGAAGGGACAATGGGTGGCGCCCTTAACGCCCAGGGAGTGTCCCTGGAGGGTGTAAGTTTATGGTATAAAATGTAAACATATTTTCTGTGTAGCTAATATAGTATAAATAACAATTTGGTGGCAGTTAACCAACTTCATAAAAAATCTACTTATATTCCTGTTTTCCTTTAAATTATCATTCCATTCCATAATATCCCAGAATTTTGCCCTAATGTTTCTTATACCTGAAAGCCTTTTTTTTTTTTTTTTTTTTTAACATCAGCGTACATTGAAACTTCTTTCCATGAAATCTTTAGACCTTAAGTATTCACGGATCTAAAAATCGTATTTTTGTCATTGTGGTTATGAGCAGTATATAGTTGATAGAATAAAACAGCCAAGTTACAGATTCCAGTAAATAGCTATTACAGTATCAGCAGAAAAGGTTACTTGGAAGTGCACCTCTTAACCATGAGGAGGGTGGGAGCTCCGTGCCCAGTTCAGAGAGGGCTTCACTCAGTGGTCCCTGTGGTGTGCACGCCTGCAGGTCCTGCACCTAGAGGGAGGCGGGGAAGAGTGAGGACTTCCCCGTGGGGGACCTGATGTTTCAGGGATTGGGAGGGTTTGGGAAGGAGCTGATGCTAGCCCCCAGGCTGGTTCTTGGGCGGAATGTGTGTGGAGGCTGAGGTGCTGAGACAGCGTCCTTGTGACCTGCCCCCAACGTTGGATGTATGACGTCAGAGGGCAAAGCTGGAGGAGCCACACAGGAGAGCTTGGCCCAGATGCTTCGAGGACACACACAGACACACACACGCACCCCCAGCCGTGCCCTTTCTTCCTGGGGGCCTAGCTCTTGTCGGCACTGAGATTTTAGGTCATGCTGCACGCCCTCTTGGTCCTTGTCTCGTGGCTCTGGATAGCTCCCCCTCCCTGGGGGGAGGTGAGGAGGCATTCTCCTCAGCAGCATGAGATTGTGTGAAAGGCTCCAAGTGGGTTTTGGGGTGCGCCAGTGGCGGGGTCTCCAGGCCACCTCCTGTCCCTTCCCGCCCTCCGTGTCCACCACAACCCACTCCCAGGACAGGTGGCAACAAGACTGGGTAGCTTGGCTCCCCGCAGCAAGATGTGCTTGATCAAATACACATGTTCTCCTTCACATAAAGTTTGGGGGGTCTCCTTTGGGTAAAAACCTTAACTTTCTTGGTTGATTTGAAGTCATATGATAAACTTTCTGTAACTTAGAAGTACAGCACCTGTTAGAATTAGTAGTTTGTCACTGAATTTATAAAATAGTTTTTATTCCATGTATTTTCTATTGTTTAATAAGGTTTTATTAATAAAAAGAATTGTGTTCCTGTTCCCTGAATTTGCCTTAGTTTCTTAAATTGCCAGTGCTGAGGTCCTGTAAAGGCGCTTTGTTCAGCAGTGTTCACACCCTACTGTGTATGTGCCTCTCTCATCTTCCCAGTTTTCCATTTTATTTAGAAAACCGTGGCTGAGAAGCAGGAAAAGAGAAATCAGGATCGGCTGAGGAGGCGAGAGGAGAGAGAGCGGGAGGAGCGGCTGAGCAGGAGGTGAGCCCGAGGACACCCCCATCCCGAGCACATCCCACCTATCCCGAGGACACGCCCCATCCCAAGGACACCCCACTTATCCCGAGGATAACCCCCCATTCCGAGAACACCCCACCTATCCCGATGACACCCCACCTATCCCGAGGACACCCCCAATCCCGAGGACACCCCATATGCCTGGCAGCCTTGCTGTTACTTGTGACACTTGCGGTCTGCCAGGTACCTGGTGGCCATGAAAAGAAGCAGAAAGATTCCAGCCCAGAGCAAGCCCTATGGCAGGATCCACCAGGGGCGGGCTCATGTGGGCCGAGGGCTGGGGGTGGTCAGGTGGGAGCGAGGAGAACGTGAGTGGCTGGGAGGGTCCAGGCCTAGGAGGGGGCAGGGACGAGCTGTGTGCTCTAGGGGCAGAGCTGATAGCATCTGCTAGCGGACGCTGTGAGTGGTACAGAGCAGGAGTGGAGCTGGCCTGGAGTGGCCGCTGACAGTGACAGGGGAGGGGAGCTTGGGAGCGGAGTTTTGGGAGAGGTGATTCTGGCCGTGTTAGGGCTAGGATGCCTGAGAGCAGCCAGGTGGGTGGTGGGTCTGGTTAGAGTTCAGGGCAGTGTCTGGAGCCCAGAGTAACCAGGCTCTGTATTGGGCACACAGACTCCTGGAGGGATTCCTTAGTGAATAACTTGTTAACTTTTTTGTTTTTCATTATTTTAATTATGTAACATGTTGATTATAAAGAGACTCAGTATAAAAATATTAAGCACAGACTCGAGGGTCTTTTCACACAGGCGACCGCCATCGTGGGGTGGGCTTTGTGCACGGGTACTTGGGCCCTCCCGCAGTTGGCGTGCTCTGGAGGCTACACAGCACCATTCTGTGATGTTGTCATCACCTGTCTTTTTATTCTCCCGCCTTTGCCCACCCTCGTTTTCCGACCTCTAGCAACCACCAGTCTGTTCTCTGTATCTGTAAGTTTGGTTCTTTTCTATTCCACATATAACTGAACTCATGCAGCATTTATGTTTTCCTGTCTGACTTATTTTACTTAACATAGTGCTCTCAAGGTCCATCTGTGTTGTTGCAAATGGCAGAATTCCTTCTTGTTTTGTGACTGAATAACATCCCACTGTATGTATACAACTACATCATCTTAATCGGTCCATCTATCTATGGACACTTAGATTTTCCTGTGTCTGAGCTATTGTAAATAATGCTGCAGTGACCATGGAGTTGTAAGTATCTTCAAAATAGTGATTTAATTTCCATCAAGTGAATATCCGGAATTGGAATTGCTGGATCATGTTATAGTTCCATTTTGATTTTTTGAGACACCTCTATCCTGCTTTTCATAAGGGCTACACCAGTTTACATTCCCACCAGCAGTGCGTTCTTTTCTCTATAGCTTCACCAGCACCTGTTTCTTGTCTTTTGGCAGTAGCAATCCTGACAGGTGTGAGGTGACAGTGCATCGTGGTTTGGTTTGTATTTCCCTGATGAGTAATGTAGTGGAGCAGTTTTTCATGTGCCTGTTGGCCTTTGTATGTCTTCTTTGGCAAAACATTTGGTCAGGTCCTCTGTCCATTTTTGAATCTTTTTTTTCCTTCCATGTAGAGTCATGTGAGTTCTTTTCATATTTTGGATATTTGCCTCTTGTCAGTTACTTGATTTGTAGATATTTTCTCCCATTCAGTTGCTTTTTCATTTTGCTGATGGTTACCTTCATTGTGCAGAAGCTTTTTAGTCTGATGTAGTTCCCACTTGTTGACTTTTGCTTTTGTTAACTTTGCTTTTTAATTTTAATTTTTGGTGACTTATTATAAAAGTGTTTTTGAATGAGTGCTAGTGTGATCATCCTTGTATGTATTTGAGTATATATAAAGTTCCTTAGAATTCCTGGGAGAGAGGAATTTAATATATAAATACTGGTAGGTGTTAAGGAAATTACTTTCCTGGAAATTTTATCAAATCATCCTCTAGCCACATGGTGTGTGAGCAGCATATTTTGTCACTTCCTCCTTCACAGGTTGAAAATTGCTGCTTAGAACAGGCTAAGAGACCTGCGTTCTTGTTGTCAAGTGTATTTCTTTTCTTTTTTTTAAAATATTATTTGGCTGCATCGGATCTCAGTTTAGGCACATGGGGTCTTCCTCTTACCATGAGGAATCTTTCCTTAGGGCACACGGGTTCCAGAGTGCATAGACTCAGTAGTTGTGGCACGTGATCTTTTTTTTTTCCCCATAGCATGTGGGATCTTGGTTCCCTGACCAGGGATTGAACTCATGTCCCCTGCATTGCAGGGTGGATTCTCAACCACTGGACCACTAGGGAAGGTCCCTCAGGTGTATTTCTTACATTGCTGGTTGTGTACTGTTTCCCAGGAGCTCCTGCAGCACTCCCAGGAAAGTGAGCCTGAGTTTGGAGCTTGGGTATCCTGCCCAGCCCTGTACTGTGACTGTCTGTGTAGCTGGATTGGTATCCACTGTGCAGTTTGCAGAAGCACTGGATCAGCTCAGTGCACCTGGACCCCTGGGTGCTGGTCTCTTCCTTCCCCCTCCCAGGTTGGGGGCCCGGGGTGGGCCTCATAGCAGGTCCTGTGGGAAGTTGACCCTCTTCACCATGTGGACGTGAAGCACCTCCCCTCAGCTGTAAGGAATTGGGCTGTTTTGGGGGGAATTGCTCATCTTTTTTTCCATTTTAGGTCTGGATCAAGAACAAGAGATCGCAGGAGGTAGGTTTTCCATTGATCCTTTCTCAGTAAGATGTCCTTTTCCACATGCTTTTTTCTTAATATTTAACCTTTATAATTTGGCATTTGTTGTCTGGGGTCAGGGCTGGTCACGGAGGGCACAGAGCATGGGTTGGAAGGAGAGTCCTGGTTGGGGCACAGTGCAACATGGGGTGGACATCCACTGTCGGTGAGAAAGGATGATCAGAGATTTCCTGGCATGTTGCAGGAAGCATCGGTGGGGAGGGTCTGGCCAGTTATTCGTGACCAGGGTGCCATTGGGGGGAGGGTTGTGAACCTGGGTTACAGGTTTGGGAGGAGAGAGGAGAGACAGCAGTAAGGCGTCAGCACAGCCTTTGTTGCAGGTCGCGCTCCCGGGACCGACGTCGGAGGCGGTCGAGGTCGACTTCCAGAGAGCGGCGGAAGTCGTCCCGCTCCCGGTCCCGAGACAGACACCGGCGCCACCGAAGCCGCTCCCGGAGCCACAGCCGCGGCCATCGCCGGGCATCCAGGGACCGGAGCTCGAAATACAAGTAACTACTCTGCTCCTTCAGTGTCTGCAGCAGGAGTGAGCCCTGCTGTGTGTGCCGGGGCTCGGGGCCTGTCACCCAGGGACGGGGCACTGAGGCTTTGAGGGTCCTGACAGGGCCCAGGGCTCCGGGAGTCTGCCTGCTGGGGGCAGCCCTGAAGCAGGTGGCTTCAGGGCTGGACAGCTGCGAGCTGCTGCGGTGTCACCTGTAGGCGAGGCCATGCTCGGCCATGCACTGCGCGTGCACTGCCACTCTGGTACACACAGCCCTGATAGGCTGCTCAGCTCAGTTGTGGTGGTTAAAAAAACAACACTACTAATGATCATATTCAGAGATGACCACCATTCACTTTGGTAATACTTTTTCTCCATTGTGTTTTTACATAATGGATCGACTCTTGCTGTGTTTTCCTTTGCACTGTTTACATTTTAGTGAAAGCTGTTGATGTTACTAGAATGCTCTGAAAATGCCACTCTGTGTTGGCTGCCCGGCCTTCCCTGTGCAGTACCTGCTGGGCCCTCCCAGCTGTGTGGGTCTTCCCTTCCTTTGCAGGGAGGGTCCACAGTGTCAGTGCCTGGGGAGCAGCCAAGAGGGAGGGCCAGCCTTCGATGAGCCTCTGGTTCCCTTTTCCCAGGTTCTCCCGAGAGCGGACTTCAAGGGAGGAGTCCTGGGAGCGCGGGCGGAGTGAGCGGGGGGCCACCGACTGGAGGCTTGAGAGTGCCAATGGGAAGGCCGCATCATCGCGGAGGTCGGAGGAGAAGGAGGCCGGCGAGATCTGAGCCCACGCCCAGGCGCTGTAAATAGTTTGATCCACGTTTGACACAGCCTCATGTTACCCTTTGTATTTGCTGAATACAGCTCATCTTTTGTAGTTTAACATTTCTGTTGTTTTGGAGCTAGCTATGAGTTTCTAGAGGTGTACAGAGTTGCTCCTGTGTTCTGGGTTATGTCGAGTGGGAATAAACAACCTGACAGACTGCCTCCTGGCGGCTGCGGTGCAGTCTCTGCTGTCTTGGCTGCACTGGACTTGCTGCGCCTTCCACAGGGTGGGGGGCATGCCCAGGTCACCTGCACGTAGCCCAGAAATGTGACTCCTCTTTGGGCTCCCCTCTGCCTTTTGGCATCTGACGCGCTGATGGAGCCAGAGGCACACGGCCATCTGCTCTCCCAGCCCCGTGTGTCTTTCTGAGGTCCAAGCTGTTCTCTTCCCCCATTTCTTTGGAGGACTGCCTGTCTGGTTTGTGGTCAGCAGTCTCTGCCCAGCATTGGAGCTCAGATAAGCTGCAGTTCCCCCTCTTGGAGTTACTCAGAGCAAAGAAAGACCTGTGGAAAGATTGACATGACAGCCACAAGGTCCTCAGAGGAGGGCGTGCTGCTGGGGTCAGTCATGGTTCTGCTCACCCTTGGTAGGGCTGGTGGTATTATCCATTCTCCCTCAGCCCTTCCACTTGTATCTCGAGACTAAAGTGAGTTCTTCTGAAGATATAACTGGGAGCTCTTTCGTTTTTTCGCTTTTCAGGGGGAAGATGAGTGTGTGTGTGCTCAGTCGTGTCTGACTCTTTGTAACCCTATAGACTGTAGCCGGCCAGGCTCCTCTGTCCATGGGATTCTCCAGGCAAGACTACTGGAGTGGATTGCCATTCCCTTCTCCAGGGGATCTTCCCGACCCAGGGATTGAACTTGCATCTCTTAGGCCTCATGCATTAGCAGGCAGATTCTTTATGGTCTGAGCCACCAGGAAAGTTCATCAGGGGAGGGGGTGGTTTATTTTCAGAGGCAGCTTCTGATGCCACCTTGTGAAACACACACCCACACCCCTGTGCAGAGCACATGGACACTGGGTCTGGGTCGTGTGGCTGCCAGCTCCAGGGCATGGTCAGTGGTCCTCTTCTAGGCTCCTCACTGCGGTTTGTTTCCCTCTGGAGGGATGTGGGTAATGGGCTGCTCTGCTGCCCTGTGGCAGAGTCTTCCCCAGCCAGCTGTGTCCACGGGAAGGAGGTGCGGCATCAGTGATGTCCCTCTGTCCCTGGCCTGTAGCCAGGCTGGGCCAGAGTGACCACTGAGAGGCCAGGTAGGTACCTGTGGGGGAACAGGGGATGTGCAGTCTTTGTGGGAAGTAGATACGAGTTGTCGGAAAGCCGTGAGAGGGTAGAGGTGGTGGTGGGGAGGGGCAGGTAGAGAGGCAGGCTGTGCTGGTGGTTTCCTGACTCCACTCTGTGACCCGGCTCATGATGGCAGGGTCTGGACTGAGTCAGCAGCCAGGGCCAAGACTGCCTAGCTCCTCACGTCTCCATTCTTAACCTCCCAAGGGGGTGTTTGGGGGTTCTGTTTGTGTTGTGGTGACAGGGCACACATCTTAGTACTGTATCCATTTCTGATGCACGGTTGAGCGGCAGTCTGTTTGCTACCATCCCTGGAGAGTGGTTTTGAAGAGGCAGAGGGCAGATGGCGTCCCTGAACTTAGAGGACCCTGGAGGTCCCAGCCAGAAAGCAGGTAGGCTGGGGTCAAGATGCCTGAGAGGTGGCTTCTCCCCCTGCAGCTGGGTGCTTGCTCATCAGTCCAGAGGCACCTGCCTGCCCTTAGCGTGCACTGGCCTGACTGCAGGATCCGCCTGGTTCCCCCAGCCCCTGAGCCTCGGCTCCTCAGCTGTCTCCACTCCACTGGGCGCAGGAGTGCAGCAGGCTGCTCTGTGGATGCCGCGGCTCCAGGGGCAGCACTGGGAGGGTGCCGGGAGGAGGGCGCCGCTCACCCTGGAGGGTGCTCTCTCCTCCTTGTTGGAGCACTGCTGTGGGGAAGTGCTGGCTTACCAGGAACGGGTGGGGGTGCCGGGAGCAGGTGGTGATGGCAGTCCTCGGTGAGTTGGGTTGGCTGAGCCCATAGGTGCAGATCTCCAGGGGCCTGTGGTCAGTCCCAGGGCTGTGTGGTGCCCTTGGCCCTTCCAGTCCCTGAGTTTTCAGGGACTCCCTGAGTCCCAGTCTTCTGCACGGGAGTGTGAGTGGGGGGTGTGGTGATAGCAGCTTGTGGTGGTTCTGGCATGGAGAGGTCCCAGACTGTCCAGGGGGTGGGCGGGGGGTCTGCAGCCAAGGGCAGGGATGCTTTGCCTTCTGCGCCTCTCTCTGGGGGTCTCTAGCAAAGCCCAGGCCAGAAGTCTGGGGATCTGAGGGCTGGAGGGATGGTGTTGGCCCTGCAGCTCTGTGAGCTCCGTGGCCTTCTCGGCGGTCCAGACCCTCTTTGCGGTGTGTGGACACAGGGCCGTCTTTGCAGGGTGACGGCTGTGCAGTAGGTGTGTGTACCTGGCTGGCCTGGGAGCCAGGAGGGAGTGATTCCAGGGGTGGGGCCAGTGTCCAGCCATGGTTTGTGCCTGTGAAGAGGCTGTGCCTCAGAAGGGTCCCCTGCCTTGAACAGGGTGGTCCTGCTCTGGGGACTGGGCTGGGCTGAGCTGAGAGGTGCTGGGACTTCACCCCATGCCCTTGTCACCCGAAGGCCTTGTAGCAGGTGGTGTGGGCCCCTCTAGGCTTCCTGTGGATCTGGGGAGGGATCCAAGAATGTAGACTTCTTTTTTTGCAGGTAGGTTGGTTGGTTTGATGGAGATAAACTTAACCTCACGTAACATTAAACATCTCAGCTGCCTGAGGTGTGTGGTTTAGTGGTTTTCAGTGTGCTTGCAGTGTGGTGGTCATCACTGTGCACTGGGACATTCCCATCACCCCCGACCCTGCCCCCACCAGCAGGCGTGCCCCTAGGCCCCAGCCTTCGACAGCCACTGGTCTGCTGTCTGTGTCTGGAATCGCAGGATGAGGCTTGTGATGAGCGTCAGTTCCTGCTGAGTGTGGTGCCCAACTGTAGCCTGTACCAGTACCGAGAAGGTTGCCATTGCCCCAGGCTGCTGCTGCTGCTGGTCCGAAGCACCCGGAGAGCTGGGCCGCAAGCCTTCAGTGGCATCCCTGGGACATGAATGGGACAGCTTAGAGCAGGTCTCCCAGCTCTTGTCATTGGCACACGTGATGGTGACACTTGTTTGGACCTAGGGGAAGGGGGCTGAGCCATCCTGGGCCTGATAGCGGTGCGGTGAGCTGCTCTATGTCACTGCACCAGCCCTAAGCCAGGCCCTCAGGTGACCTTCCCCCACACCCCCAGCACAGGGTCGCATGTGATTGGGGTCAGCACGAGGTCTGCCCCCAGGTGCCAGTGAACCCTGGCCTGAGGCGGCCCTCTGCTCCCACCCAGGGGCACCTGGGAGCCTGTGAGGATAGCCTGGGGGTCCCTGTGCATTCTCAGCCCACAGCGCTGGTGAGTGCCACCCTCTTGCATCTGCCCTCCCCCGTGCTGCCCCCAGCCTGCCTGCCTGCCTGCCTTCCCTGCTGGTGCCCATGGGCTCAGGGCTGCCCTCCCGAGGAGGTGGTGCTGTCCTCACAGTTCAAGAGAGAAGCTGCCAACTGATGGCCAAGGACTTCCCCCACCTGGATCCTGGCCACCTTCGTTTTTAAATTTTTATTGAGATTAAATTGACAAATGTTAACTTTAGTTTTAGGTGTACATGCTAATGACTTTATATATATATATATATTTTGCAAAATGATTTTTTTCTTGTGATAAGTTTTAAGCACTAAGCAACTTCAGGTATGCAGTACAGTATGGTGTATTTAGTGTGATACATCAGAGGATGGGATGAATGGATGGTATCACTGATGCAATGGTCGTGAACTTGGGCAAACTTTCAGAAATGGTTAGGGACAGGGAGTCCTGGTGTGCTGCAGTCCATGGGGTCACAAAGAGTTGGAGATGACTGGGTGACTGAACAGCAGCGTGATATGTCACAGTGCAGTATTACATTGCCCTGGGCCTTCTGGGGCTGCTCCTGTCCCCTTTGGAACACTTGCCCAAGTCCATCCACCTTGGAATCCAGGCCTGGAGGTACATACTCGCCAGTGCCTCCGAGCCCTCATCTGCCCCACAGTCCTTCCAGAGAGCTTTGCTCTCCTTGAACATCACCACAGACGGCATACATTAACTGTCCCACAGCTTCTGAGCATCCGGGCATCGGATCAGATGCCAGTCCAGCCCCGCTGAGCCTTGAGGATGTGCTGAGCGACATGCTGGACAGTGAAGCCATGGGGCTGGGCTGGGGAGAGGTATGGAGGGGCGCCTAGTAGACACAGGGCTTCCTTTGGGGCCGTGAGAAAGTTCTGGAGCTGGGTAGAGGTGGTGATGGCACATGACCATCACCACTGTGAATGAAGTGAATGCCGCTGAGTCGTACTCTTTACAGTGGTTGAACTGGTAAGTATGTGTTACCTATATTTTGCATGAGTTGGTGTTAATCACTCAGTCATGTCTGACCGGCTCTGTGACCCCATGGGCTGTAACCCATCAGGCATCTGTTGGTGGAGTTCTCCATGCAAGAATACTGGAATGGTTTGCCATACCCTCTTCCAGGGGATCTTCCCAACCCAGAGATGGACCTGGTTGGCTACATTGTAGGCAGATGACCAGTGAACAACAGGGAAGCCCTGTATTTTACCACATTAAAAAAGCTTTGAAAAATAAAAAAGCTTCCGTGAGGGATGGATGGGAAGTTTGGGATTAACAAATGCAAACTATTACATGTCTGTATAACTGACTCACTGTTATATAAGCAGAAACTAATGCAACATTGTAAATCGACTATATGCCAATAAAATTTAAAAACCGCAACAAAACAGCCACACAAGGGGAGGTGACCACATGAGAACACCAGAAGGGAGCCTTGCAGGGTACACTTTAGTCTCTGGATCTGTTATTATTAGTGATAATTCTTTACTGTATTTGCGCTTTTCATCTTTACGCCTCAAGTCTGATCTTTATCCTTTCTTTGAGTCATTTAAGTCACATAGTCAATATTGGGTTGGCCAGAAAGTTAAACCAGAATGAACTTGACTGACCAACCCATGCACCACAGAGCAAGTGAGACTAGCTCCCTGACCAGGAGCTGAGCCTGTGCCCCGGGCAGTGGAAGTGTGGAGTCCTAACCACTGGGCTGCCAGGGAATTCCTCCATTGTTGATGCCATCTTCTGGGGTCTTTACATTTGTCGTTCCCGTTCTCTTTTTTCCTCCCATTTTTGCCCAATTCCCCACCCCACCCCACCCCCGGGGGGTGGGGGGTTGTGTTAGAATATTTTAACATTCTGTTTTTTACTCTGTTACCTTGGAAATCATAATTCAATTTCTATCTTTTTAAATTTTCTTCGCTGCACATGGGCTCAGTTGTGGCACTCAAGTTTAGTTGCAGGCAGATTATTAACCACTGGACTATCAGATAAGTCCTGCTGTGTGCTTTTTTATATTCTGTGGTTCCCTGCAGATTATTTCAAACCAAGTTGTATTGCATGTGACGTCTGCAGTGCCTGCTGGTTTTCATGCAGGTGCCTTGCCCTGTGTGCCTGGTGAGTTTGTCAGCCCTGGCACCTTGTGGCCTGTAAAGTACTTTTTTCTTGGGGGGGGCGGGGATTTGTTTACATATCAGCATGTGATTTCAATTTATTAGGGAAGCATCTTTTCTTTGCTGAATATCCAGGGTTTTTTTTTTCTGTTTTTTCTTTATTTCTTTTTACCAGTACCTGTATTTGGGGAAAGGATAACCCAGTGGGATATCTTTTTAGGGCCCCAGGTTTATGGGAAAGTCACCTTTGGGTATATCACCTTTTACTGGCCCTTTGAACTGTGAGCCCGTAAGGAAAAAGAATTTCAGCTCAAGTTTGCTCATTTTGGCAAATAGCTCAGAACCCAGGTGGTTTAGGTGCTGTGACATCTGAGTTCTCACCTTCACTTGGTTATCTGGTCTGAAGATTCCGAGTCCACTTGCTGTTAGAGGGTGGGAAGGGTCTTATCCAGCATTCTTAATTGTCATAAATGAGGGTGTAGATCAGAAACGTGCTTAAAACAAACAGGCAGAGCCATGGAGCGTGGTTGGGCCCAGAGGTCTGAGGAGGGGCTGGGTTTATTTGGAGGAAAGAGTCCTCCCATGAAATACCAGAGATAAATGGGCAAAATCTGGGTCAACCTGAGGAAGAATGCTAACCTGGGAAGTGGGTGACCCTCCTCTAGCAGCAAGTGAGGGTGCAGGCTCTCATCTGCTGGCGAAACTCAGGAAAGCAATTTTGGCAATATTCTCAAAAAGCTAGAAATTACACTTCTGAAGAAATCCCCCAAGGGAATGACGATGTTAGTGCATAGGTTTTTAGCTACAAATACTCAGGGCAAGGTTTTTTTGCAAATTAGTTGTGAAAGTGGAAAACATAAGTGAAAAATCATACCTTTCCTGGGATTAGATCAAGTACCTGTCTTCTCTGCCCCTCTGGCCCTGCCTGGGGGGAGCTGCTGCCATCTCTGTGTGTGTTTTAAGTTTCCTCTGATCATGTCAATGTGAAACTGAATATATTCTTATGAGAAATCTCTCCAAATGTGCCGTCACCCCTCTTGTGTGACGACTGTCCCTGGTCACTTAGTGGTCCTCTCTGGTACCCGATGGACTGTCCTAGTGCCACGGCACTCCTGTTCACAGTGACCCTTATTTGACTGAATAGTGGCCTCAGTGCCCAAGAGGAGTTAATGCACGAAAGACCTCAAGTGCTTCCTTTAAGTGAAAAAATACAGAGTTAATAAGGAAAAGAAAGAAACGTGCTGAGGTTGCTGAGATATACAGTAAGAACGAATCCTGTATCTGAAATTGTGAAGAAGGAAAAAAATTCATGCTGTCAAGCAATGTATATCTGGGACCCACGGGAAGGCATGAGCAGTTTAGGTGCAGCAATTGGGAGTCGTTTCCTTAAGTTTCTGCGATGACAGTGATTTATTTCATGAGAAAAAAATTTTAAAGGAAGATGCTCTGAGTTCTGTCTGCTGTGTGGGATAGGGGCAGGGCGCGCTGCAAGCGCCACCTCCTCTGACCAGGTCCAGAGTCTGGCAAAGGCACCTTTGACCCCAAGCTTCCCAGTTGCTCAAAGTGCCCAGCGCATTCCGGAGGTGCAGTTCCGCTCCACCCCGGCAGGGGCGCCCGTTCCTAATTTCCTCGCAAGCTCTCCGGGGCGGTACTAACTAGGTGCAGGTGAGGTGTCCGAAGGCGGCAGCGGGGAAGACGGTTCAGACGGGGCCCGCTGGGGCCCGTGACGCCCCGTGACGCCCCGTCCCGACCAGCCGGAGACCCAGCCGACACCTCCAAGTAGCCACGCTCAAGGGCATGGTGAGTTGGAGCTTATCACGTGGGAGCGGAGACCCCATCCAGATTTCTCGCCTCCCTTTGGGAGGGGCGTCCCATCCCCACTCACACCGCCACCCCACCCTCGTCATGCCCGGGCTGGCTCCCCTAGAAGAGAACACGGGCACAGCTGGGACTCTGCCGACTTTACTCAAACAAAGGAGCCCTCTGCGACCACGCTCCCAATTTGGCCACTGCTGGGGGCCAGCGCCGAGATCACGTGGCTCAGAAACTTGACCAGTGAGGCGTGCATGTTGGGGCTGAAGTCTCCGGGGTAGTGCCGGGCGAGGGTCACCAGTAGGCAGTGGCACAGCAGCTGCAGGCAGACAGAGTGGTTCCCGCGCGGTGCACCACCCCTTGCCTGGTGGGAGCCCCCTCCCCCGGCGACGGGCGTCGGCCCCGCCCGCGAGCTCACCTTGAAAAAGACCGGGTCCACGCGCAGCTTGTGCGTGTGCAGCTCGCGCAGGGCTGACAGGGTGTGCGGCAGGTCGTCCAGGTGGTTCATGGCCAGGCTCAGCGCCTCAGCCACCTTCTGGCCGTGGGCTCTGACCTGGGCGGAGCCAGGACTCAAGTTTAGGTGGAGGAAGTAGGTCTTGGAGGAAGGGAAGGCCACGAAGATCCTGCGGGGGAGAACTGCGAGTGAGGCGCGTCCTGATGGCGGGGCCTGGGGAGGAAAGGCTTCGGGACAGGACGGCGGGGGGCGCATCCCCCGAGTGCGCTGAAGACAGGAGAGCCCGGAGCTGCCGGGGCCCGTACGCACCTCTCCAGGGCCTCCGTCGTGTAGATGCCGACGTTGGTCCCGAGCTTCCGCCACAACGCGAGCACTGCAGCGCGGTCCGCCGGCGCCAGCACCATCGTGGAGACCCGCCCGCCGCGCGCTCGGCGTCTCGGTGAAGCCCGGGCTGCGCCTGCGCGCCTCTGGACCTGCTGTCCCCTTGGCCTCCGGAGGGCGCCGGACCTCTGGTCGCAGAATCTGGCCGGGAGGGGTCTAGGAGCTCTCCACGGAGCGTTAGCTCTGACCTGGGGCCTTCCCAATCTCCCTGGACCCTGAAAGTCCTATTTTTGGAAACTAATGTTTAGTATGTGTCAATATTAAGTGGCCCTGCATTTTAGCATGGAGTTTGTCATTGAACGTCAGTCTGTTTTCTCATTTATGGTGTATAAAGAAGGTAACAGTTTCTTCTTCCCAAGGTTGTTCCTGGTTCATTGCAGATGTCCTGAAAAGTCAGGACAATGAGCATTCACTGAGTAGCTAGGATAGATCCTAAAAATGATAACCGATACCTATAAAGCACTCATTCTGTGCCAGGCATCACTATGCATCCTTTTTAAAAATGCATTGAAATTCACATAAAATTTACTGTCTTAGCCATTTAAGGTATACAATTCAGTGTCTTTAACTATATTCACACTATGTGTTACCATCACCACTAATTCCAGAACTTTCTCATCATCCCAAATAGAAATCTAGTTGGTGCTAATGGTTAAGAATCCACCTGCCAATGCAGGAGACTTAAGAGACATGAGTGTTGAGAACACAAGGGTTTGATCGCTGGGTCAGGATGATCCTCTGAAGGAGGGCATGGCAACCCACTCCAGTATTCTTGCCGGGAGAAGCCCATGGACAGAGGAATCTGGAGGGCTGTGGTCCATAGGATCACAAACAGTTGGACACAACTGAAGTGACCTAGCACAGTACAGGATAGATCCCCCAAATAATAGCTCATACCCATGTAGCACTCATTCTGTGCCAGGGATCACTATACCTCCTTTAAAAAAATGTATTGAAATTCAAATAACAAAGTTTACTGTCTCAGCCATTTTCGGGTGTACAATCCAGTGACTTTAATCATAGTCACTGTGTGACCATCACCACTGTCTAATCCAGAACTTTTTCATCATCCCAAACAGAAACGCTGTCCCCTTCAGTGGTCAGTCCATGACCTCTGCCCTCCAGCCCCTGGACATCACCAGTCTGCTCTTGGCCTCTGTGAATTTGCCTGTTCTGGACATTTCATGTGAATAGAATCATGCAGTACATGGTCTTTTGTGTTTGCAGCATGTATTTGCACTTCATTGCTTGTTATGGCTGGATAACACTTCATTGTCTGTTTAGGTCACATTTTGTCTGTTCTCTCATACTCTTGATGGACATTTGGGTTGTTTCCACTTTTAGTCCAGGCTCTCATTTTACCTAATAATAGAGTAAGGAAGACTGCCTCTTACTGAGAGCTCCTGTGCTAAAAGCAGGGCACATTGAGGCAGGAAACCTGCCATCCATTTTTTGACGATGACTCTTGGGCCCAGGGAAGGAAGAACACTGCTCCCAGCTAAAAGCTTGGGGCTGGACCACTGCCAGGACTGGACACCTCAAGCTGCAGGTGCTAGGGGCATTCTCTACGGGAAGAAAGCACCTCACTTCTGAGTTTAGGCTCCCTTGCCCTGGCTCTCCTCTCCACAGCAGCGCAGGGGCGGGGGTGGTGTCAGTGGGCCTCAGGGCAGTGCAGTGGATCCTGAGTTGGGCCCCCCACATCAGGCCTTCAGACCCTCAGTGGCCCAGTGGGTGTCCTGGGGGGGTGTACCAGGTGACAGAGGTGCCTCCAGGACCTGGCCTGGTTCTACAACGGCACTACGCACCCCTAGTTTCCTCTAGACACTTGGTGGGGAGAGAGGGACTCAGATGACTTCTGTGTTCTCCCCACCACCCAGCTCTGGGAGCAGCTGGGGAGAGCTCCAAGTCCTGCCTGGAGGTCTGCCAACAAATTGATTATTTGAGCAAACTCCGTGATGAATATGCAAGGCTCTGGAATGAATTCAGGGAAGGGCGACTGTACTCAGAAATCACTCGAGGTTGAGGGTGAGGGCTGCCCAGAGAATCCCAGGCAGTGGCCGTGGGACGGGCTCCACCCACACCCCTCTGTCCTGTTTTCCCCTTCTCTCTCTCTGCCTGAGACTCCTTGGTCCCAGGCAATGAGAACCCCCCCCCCCGCCGGTTCGCGGACACAGAGACCCGAGGCTACAGACACTGCAGCCCACTCAGACTTTATTCAAAGATCAGGAGGTGAGAGTGCGCAGAGCGCAAGGGGGCTCCAGGCCAGGGTGGGGGTCGCCGAGGCTCCAGCTTAACGGTATTTGGAGGTCAGCACGGTGCTCACGTTGGCCAAGAACTTGTCCAGGGAGGCGTGGACCGCGGGGGTGAAATCACTGGGGAGGTGGGAGGCCAGGGTCACCAGCAGGGTGTGGCTCAGAAGCTGCCGAGAGAGGAGACGTCAGGGGGGCGGGGGCTGGGTGGGGGCGCCGCTGCATTCTCTGCCCCGCTAGCCCAGATCTGTCCCGGCCCGGCCCGCGAGCTCACCTTGAAGTTGACCGGGTCCACACGCAGCTTGTGAGCATGCAGGTCACTCAGATCAGACAGGGTACCGGGCAGATCGTCCAGGTGGCCCACCGCTTTGGTCAGCGCGTTAGCCACCTTCTCGCCGTGGGCCTTGACCTGGGCGGAGCCGTGGCTCAGGTCGAAGTGGGGGAAGTAGGTCTTGGTGGTGGGGAAGCTCAGGAACATCCTGGGTGAAGAGGCAGGAGAACCGGGCTTAGGCCGGGCGGCCCGGGACAAGGACGCGCCCGGCGTGCGGCCCGATCCCCGCGGGGCAGGTGTGGTGCTCACCTCTCCAGGGCCTCTGCGCCATAAGCTGGAGCGTTGCCGCCAACCTTGCCCCAGGCGGCCTTGACATTGGACTTGTCGGCGGCAGACAGCACCATGGTGGGTTCTCTCTGAGTCTGGGTCGGGACCAGAAGAGTGCGGGGCGGCGAGTGCGCGAGCCTTTATGCGCCCGGCGCCAGGGGCACGCCCGCCCGCGCTGCGCTCATTGGCTGGCGCGGGGCGGCCGGACCTGGACCAAAGGGGGCGCGCGGCGCCCGACCTGCGCCGGGCCGGGCGGTGGGTGCTTCCCTCACCCATCCACGGAGACCTGGAGACTCTGACCGGGGGTTCTTGCTTCCACCGTCTGCTTCCCGCCCGCTGCGTCCACCTTCCCGGGAAGTGGTAGCCTCGCGCCAGGTGGCGGGGCGGGATTGTGGAGCTGGGTGGGTGCCCGCTCCTGCATCCTCTAAGAGTCTGCCAGCTCCAGGCTGCGCTGTCTTGAGAACGGAATGGAGTAAGTCAGCCCGTGCTACCCACACCGGACCTAGGCTTGGCACACTCTCGGCATTTTAAACGTGTGCAGTATCAGTGAATGAATGGGCGATTGAGTGCGCCTAGTCCATGCCAGAGGGAGCTGGACATAACACACTTGACTCATCATTCACATGTAATCAGCTAATTCCTCCCCACCCCCACTCCCGTCCAACTCTCCTGTTCCTCTTTAACCTTGGTGCTTCCAGATTCCTTTCTTTCCGCAGAGAGTTTCTGAGTGCAACTGAATGGCAGTCTTGGAAGGAACAGATACTGAGAGTGGGTTACAGAATTTGCAAGGAGCTCCGGATTCAAGTCTCCTCTCCCTGGGTGCTGGTTACTGCAGCCCTGGCCCTTTTAAGGCAAGACTTGAGGAACGTTTCTCAGCCGATGTCTTACATTCATAATATAGGAAGACCTCCAGCATAGATATAAGGAAAAGACAAATGACTTATGAGAACAATTGACAAAGGATTCTACCAGAAAATTAACAGGAATATCGAAATAAGCGAGACAGAACTGAATGAATTAGCCAGAAAACAGGTAGAGGAGACACAGATCAGTGAGAAGAGCAAGTTGAAGGAAAAAATGTTTAAGGTAGAATGATATTTTTTGGGGGGGGGAGGGAAGTACAGTTATAGACATAACTGCATCCCCTCAGCACAGAATAGGAGCCAGTGGGCTCAGTCCCAGACTTTGAACCTCGGCTATTTCTGCGGGGGTTGGGGAGACAGGATGGAGGGATTCTCTTACTCTTTTGAATAACATAAAAAAGGTGCACGTGGTGAAAACATTGTTATTGTTGTTTAGTCGCTCAGTCATGTCCAAGTCTTTTGCGACCCCACGGACTGTAGCCCGCCAGGGCCCTCTGTCCATGGGATTTTCCTGCAAGAATACTGGAGTGGGTTGCCATTTACTCCTCCAGGGGATCTTCTCCACCCACGGATGGAACCTGCGTCTCCTGCTTTGCAGGCAGAATTTTTTTTTTTTTTTAATCCCACTGAGCCACTGGGGAAGTCCCTTGTGAAAACGTAGGTGGATTTTAATTTTTTATTTATTTTTTACATTTAAATAAAAGTGAAGGGGGCTGCGGGACAGGGGAAGAGTGCATGGTGAGAGGGGAAGTAACTCTTCAGCTGTTAGAGGTCCTTGCCCAGAAAGAACGTGATCATCAGTGGCCCTGCCACCCTCCTCACCTTTTATCCAGTGCAGAGTTGCCCTGAAGATGGGGGCTGGGCTGGAGGCGCTGACTGGGGGTCCCTAAGGGCTACAGGGTGGGTGGGGTGTTCGAGGTTCCAGTGTGGAGTCCAGGGGCCTTTCTGAAGGTTGCTCACAGGACCAAGGCAGAACTGCCAGGAGACCCCAGGAGCCTGGATGGGGGGAGGGGGCTTAGAGGCCGGGGAACGCAGGGCTGGGTGCACAGTGAGCTTCGCAGACTACAGCGACAAGGGAGCGAGGAGCCTGCTGAAGGCTGCAGTGAGCCCGAGGCCCCTCTTCTCCCTGACTGCCCCTACCCCCCAACGCCTCAGAGAGTTCCCGTGACCCAGGACAGGGTGCCTGGGGCTCGATCCCTGTTTCAACCCCCCTTGTCTCTGATAGGGAGGTGGGATCTCCTGGAGGTTGTCCTGCCCCTACTTTTGCACCAGGAAAAGACTATTTGTGTGGTTTGTTTTTTGTTTTCATCTAACTGTTTAAGGGGGATCAGAAAAATTTCAAAACAGGGTGGCCATTTCAGCACTCCCAACCTCAGAGAGAACTCTTGGAAGTCTTCCCAGGATGGGAACTTGGTTCAGCAGATTCTGGGACCCTCAGCCTTAGCTCCCCACCCTCCTCCACCCTCCCATTCCTAGAGACTGAGAATCACGCCCCCCCCCCGCCGGTTCGCGGACACAGAGACCCGAGGCTACAGACACTGCAGCCCACTCAGACTTTATTCAAAGATCAGGAGGTGAGAGTGCGCAGAGCGCAAGGGGGCTCCAGGCCAGGGTGGGGGTCGCCGAGACTCCAGCTTAACGGTATTTGGAGGTCAGCACGGTGCTCACGTTGGCCAAGAACTTGTCCAGGGAGGCGTGGACCGCGGGGGTGAAATCACTGGGGAGGTGGGAGGCCAGGGTCACCAGCAGGGTGTGGCTCAGAAGCTGCCGAGAGAGGAGACGTCAGGGGGGCGGGGGCTGGGTGGGGGCGCCGCTGCATTCTCTGCCCCGCTAGCCCAGATCTGTCCCGGCCCGGCCCGCGAGCTCACCTTGAAGTTGACCGGGTCCACACGCAGCTTGTGAGCATGCAGGTCACTCAGATCAGACAGGGTACCGGGCAGATCGTCCAGGTGGCCCACCGCTTTGGTCAGCGCGTTAGCCACCTTCTCGCCATGGGCCTTGACCTGGGCGGAGCCGTGGCTCAGGTCGAAGTGGGGGAAGTAGGTCTTGGTGGTGGGGAAGCTCAGGAACATCCTGGGTGAAGAGGCAGGAGAACCGGGCTTAGGCCGGGCGGCCCGGGACAAGGACGCGCCCGGCGTGCGGCCCGATCCCCGCGGGGCAGGTGTGGTGCTCACCTCTCCAGGGCCTCTGCGCCATAAGCTGGAGCGTTGCCGCCAACCTTGCCCCAGGCGGCCTTGACATTGGACTTGTCGGCGGCAGACAGCACCATGGTGGGTTCTCTCTGAGTCTGGGTCGGGACCAGAAGAGTGCGGGGCGGCGAGTGCGCGAGCCTTTATGCGCCCGGCGCCAGGGGCACGCCCGCCCGCGCTGCGCTCATTGGCTGGCGCGGGGCCAGGAGGTGCCGGCCTGGAAAGGTGGATCTGGAGAGGGTGTGGGGTGTCGTGGTCCCAGGGAGGCCCCTGCCCTGTCCCGCTTTGGCTGCAATCCAGCTATTTATGGTACCTTCTACCCTGGTGCTGTGGGTCGAACGGCTCACACACTTTTCTGAGCCACCCAAACCCCCTGGAACCGAGTTTGTACTGCGTTGGGGCAGCATCGAGGTTTCCATTTGCCAGTCTGGGAGAGGAGCACAATCTTTTTCGAAGTGAAGCAAGCTGCTTTCGCACTAAAGGGCATGGACCGAGGAGGGTTCTGCCCAGTCTGGGTGAGGGGTTAGTGTCCAGCATCCTCCTTCGAACTTGGTCACTGACTGTCCAGCCCTGCACATACTGTCATCCAGGGAACCATCCTCATTCAGAGTTTGGAGAGCTTGGAGGATTGGGCTGTTGTCTTTGCAAAGGCTCTGGATTGATCGCTAAGATCCGTGCCCCAGTGCTGCAGAGGAGAGATTGACAGTGTGTGTGTGTGTGTGCGTGTGCGTGTGCGTGTGCGTGTGTGTAAGATGGGGCGCTATGGCCCAGGGACCACGGAGACTGAGCCAGAGTGCTGGAACTGGGGTGGGGGTTGGGTACACTTGGGCCTGCCAGGCAACCAGCCTTCCTTAGGATTATTATTTCAAATATCACTTCAAAGACCCAGCGAAGTTGGGGATTTTTCGCTCGGGTTAGATCGCTTAGGCTCAGATTGCTTAGGGATATGCCTAGTGTCACACAGTGTGTCTATGTGGACTAGGAATGTGTCCACCTACCCCACTCCCTGCCCCAGGAGATTCAGAGGAAGGGATTAATTCAGACGAGGGCCAGGCAGCCTCAGGCTGGGCACTGGAGTTGGAGGAGGAAATGGGGGAGGAACAGAGGTGAGGGTCCGGGGAGCCCTGGGCCACCAAGTCTGTTTGACCTCAGGCCAGAAACTTGGCCGCAGGTCTCTGGTGCCCACTACTGTGTGTTAGAGAAGATTGACACTTGCAGTTCCTGAGGGAGGTAGCGATGGAGATGAATGAGAGTGAATGAGGATGTGCTTAGCAAACGGTCTGGCAGCCACGATGCCAAAAGCGAGCACGCTATGGGCCAAGCACATGCCGCTGCCCCAGGAGGGCAGCTGTTTCAGGGTGCCAGGCGTGTTCTAGACCCAGGACTGTCAGCCCGGGAAATGTCCTCATTCAGGCTGTGCTGAATGCCAGAGGCCCCGCACCTGGGCCCCCGGTTCCACTGTCAGCAAAGATTCGGGGTCGCACCCTACGGTTCCGGGAGTCTCCCCTCAGGACCCGGAGCTTCTCCGCCCGGCGACTTTGAGGTCAGTCCGTCTGCTCCCTAAAGACCACACGTGCGCAGGTTCCAGCCTACTGAGGCCTGTTTATTGAATTTCGCAGACCTAGACCCGCGGAGCACGGAACTCAGCGATACTTCTCCGTCAGCACCACAGCTATGCCCGTCAGGAACTTATCCCACGCCGCCTGCATCTCCACCGTGAACTCGCCCTGCAGGTGGGAGGCCAGCACCACCTGGAAACACTGGATCACCAGCTGCCGGAGAAGAGGCCGGTGAGAAGGGCCCTGTCCTCGCTAGTGCCTCTCCCGAACGCCTCCCCCTCCCCGCCCCCAACCACTCCCCCCCACCCCCGCCTCGGCTGCGCCGCGAGCCCTGCTGCGCCCTGGTGGCTCACTGGGAAGTTGGAGGGGTCCACGCGCAGCACTTGTGCGTGCAGGTCGGCGAGCGGGCTCAGAACTGCGCGCAGGTTGTCCATGTACTGCACGGCCACGCCCACTGCCTGGAGCACGCGTTGACCGTGGTTCAGCAGCTGCACCTCGTCTGGGTGGTCACCCAAATGTCTGAAGTAGACCTTGGTGCTAGGGTACACAGTGAAGAGCCTGCGGGAGCAGGGATGTGGGGAGGACGGTCCCTCCAGCGTCTGCGCTGCCCAGACCGTGGGAAAACCCGCTCAGACTCGCCCTCCACCCCGGACTCAGGCCCAGCACCCTGGTCTCCTCCTCCCAGCGATTCTGGAGACCCCGCCCAACCCACCTGCGTAGCAGCTCCGCCCCGAAGAGCGCCTCGTGGCCGGCGATCAGGTCCCAGACTTGTGCTATGTGGGCGCGCTCTTGGGCGCTGAGCATTGCGCTGGCTTGGTGTGCTTTAGGGGCCGCGCCCGCCGCCCCGGCCTCCTTATAGCGGCCTCCCCTGGCGCCCCGCCCGCCCTTATCTTCAGGAGCGCGGCTGGAACCTGGCGACCCAGGTCGCCAACCCAGGTCCTCCTCACCGCGGAGAAACTAAATCACGCCGTGTGTGGGTGCCTTTGCTGCAGACTTTAAAGGGGTCTGCAATTATTCCCCTGAAGGCAAAGTTACTGCTCCGCCAGACAGAGCGATGGAGCGACAGGGAGAAAGCGCATGGGGCAGGGAGCCCCCTTAATCCGAGGGGCCAGAAGGTTTCAGGGGGTCCTCGCAGCGGTGAGCTGGGATGACAGGCTCTGAGGGAAGTACTCTGAGTCCCGACGCATTGAGTGAAGCCACAGGCTGGGTGACGTGGGGTGGGACAGAGGTCCCAGTGCAGGTCTGACCCGAGAACGCAGCGTGGGCCGTCCTGGGCTGCCCTGCTCCTTCCGGTCGCGACTCTGTGTTCTGCAGGTCAAGGACCGGTTCAAAGCGCCCCTTGGAGTTACTCCAGGCCGGGGGCGAAGTCCCCATTCTCTCCCGTCACTCTCCCCTCTTTCCCCCAATACTGAGAACGCACGACCAGGCTCCTTCCATCCTCATCCATTTATTGGGGGTCCCTATGGAACACTAATAGGGTGCAGGGGAAGAGGAGGGCTCGAAGCCTGTTCTAGGGGTCCTGCGGCGGCCTCAGCGGTACTTCTCCGTCAGGACGCCGGACACGATGGACAGGAACTTGTCCCAGGCGGCGTGCGCGTCGGCCGTGAAGTCGGCGGGGACGTGCGAAGACAACGTAACCAGTAGACAGGCGGAAGGGAGGGCGGTCAGCGAAGATGGCCTGGACGAAGCTCCGCCTCCGGGGCCTCGCCCCGCCCAAACCCCGCCCACCTGGATATCACCCGGCCCCGAGACCTCGCCCCACCCTGGGACACCGGCCCAGGAAGTAGCCCCGCCCACCGAGACCTCGCCCCGCCCCCGGGGCCCCGAGAGACACAGGTGACCCTCAGACCGCCCCCATCACCTCCTCCTCCTGCTTCTGACCACCGAGACACTCCTCACCTGCTCATGCTCACTGACCCTCCTCACTGACCCCTCCTCACTCACTCCTCCTCACTCTCCCCTCCTTACGCACCCTCATCACTGACCCCTGTTCTCACTGACCCCTGACCTCACTGACCCACACGTCCCCTCCAGGCTCCACCCCAGCCCACCTGGTGCTCACCTCTCCAGGGTCTCGGTGCCAATGGCGTCCGCCTGTGTGGAGATCTTGCTCCACATGGACACGATGATGGTCCTCTCAGCTCTGGTCAGAGACATGGTGGCGGCTGAGCGGGAGCTGGGCGCGCTGAGAACTGGTGTTGGTGATGCTCAGCCCCCAGGGTCCCCTTATGTAGATGGAACCAGGGTTGGTGCCAGGGTCATCACTGGGAGAAGGGAGGGGGCAGTGGGGTGGGTTTCTTACCATTTCCAGGGACAGCAAGTGGCCAGGGCCTGGTGGGCTTGATGGCTGAGGGGCTATCACTTTGGCTGCCCCTGAAGAGCCAGAGCCAGAGCAGGTCACAGGGAGATAAGGGCCCTGGCCTGGCAAGGGTCCGTGTGTCCGCTCAGTCCAGGGCCCAGCCTCCATAACGATTGTCCCTGACCTGCCTGTCCCTCTGAGGGGAGGAGGACCTGGGGGGCGTCCCTCCCAGAAGTGCTCTGTGTTCTTATTTTAAGTTTCTGCGGCTCCACCTGATGAGAAAAGTGAAGCCAGGTGTCAAGGTGGGAGTAACAGTAAACAGCCTTTGCTGTAGCCCGCTCCTTACCCAGCTGAGGCTCCTTCTGAGGTCTCCTCCACCCACAGGACCCCAGATGCCTGGGAGGGGGGGCCTCTGCAAGCTGTCACCCTGGGGAGGGGCGTGCCCTTCATGCAGTGCCTGGGGCAGAGAAACCCATGGTTTTCCCTCCCAGGTTTCCATCCCAGCTGGTGTCCTCACCTGCTTTATACATTCATTTCCCTTTACCCTCTTAGCTTATCCCCTCCTCCCCAAAGCAACCATTTCTATGTGCTTCATGGGTTCCTTGTTCTTACAAAGAGTACATTTTTATATATGTATTTTAGATTAAACAGATTATAGCTTGATTAAAAATTTTAATTCCTATAAACATTTCCTTATAAGCACATCTCTTGTGAAAGATAGGATTTTTTAATAAGAAGGGAAAGAAACTGGATATACCACAATTAATTTGGGCTTCCCTCATAGCTCAGCTGGTAAAGAATCTGCCTGCAATGCAGGAGACCCTGCTTTGATTCCTTGGTCAGGAAGATCCTCTGGAGAAGGGATAGATTATCCACTCCAGTATTCTTGGGCTTCCCTGGTGGCTCAGATGGTAAAGAATTCACCTACAAAGCGGGAGACCCAGGTTTGATCCCTGGGTTGGGAAGATCCCCTGGAGGAGGGCATAGCAACCCACTCCAGTATTCTTGCCTGGAGAATCTCCATGGACAGAGGAACATCCCAAGCTGAAGTCCATGGGGTCACAAAGAGTCGGACATGACTGAGCGACTAAGTACAGCGCAGCACATGGTTGGTTTAAAATGGTCTGTTAATTTCTGCTGCACGGCAAAGTGACTCAGTGATACACACATGTACATTCTTGTTTATATTCTTTTTCATTATGATTTACCCCAAGAAATTGTATATAGTTCCCTGTGCTGTATAGTACGACTTGTTGTTTATCCATTCCATACGTAATAGTTTGTATCTACCAATCCATCCTTCCCCCTTCCTTTCTCACACTTGAGAACCACAAGTCTGTCCTCTGTTTATGAGTCTGTTTCATTTTCCAGGATAGGTTTGTTTGTGGCATATTTTAGAATCCACATATAAGTGACATCATATGCTATTTATCTTTGTCTGACTTACTTTATTTAGCATTGTAATCTCTAGTTGCATCTATGTTGCTTCAAATGGCATTATTTTGTTCTTTTTATGGCTGAGTAGTATTCCATTGTATGTTTATACCACATTTTCTTTATCTATTCCTCTGTCAATGGTCATCCTGTCCCTGTGGAGCCATGTCTTGGCTATTGTGAATAGTGTTGCTATGAACATAGGAGTGCATGTATCTTTCTGAATTATAGTTTTGTCTGGATATATGCCCAGGAATGGGATTGCTATATCATATGGTAATCCATGTTTAGCTTTTTGAGGAGCCTGCATAATGTTTTCTATCGTGGCTGCACCAACCTGCATTCCCACCAGCAGTGAGGGAGAGTTCTCTTTTCTCTACTCTCTTCAGCATTTATTTGTAGACTTTTAAATGATGGCTATTCTGACCAGGGTGAGGTGGTAGCTCTTTGTAGTATATATAGGTATATTTCTATTTGACTGTGGTCAGGTCTTAGTTTTAGCACATGGGATCTTTAGTTGTGGCATGTCGGATCTAGTTCTCTGACAAGGGATCACACCTGGGCCCCCTGCATCGGGAGCATGTTGTCTTAGACACTGGACCACCAGGGAAGTCCCCCAGATATTATTTAAATAGAAGGAAGGGATGGATAGAAGGCAGCAAACTGGTAAAACAATTGTCCCCAGGTAATGGGGTTTGCAGGAGTTCTAGCTTGCTCGGTTTTGCATGTTTTCACTGGGCTTCCTCCTGAGCACACGTTCCTGGAACCACCAGGTGCCATGAGGTGGAGCTGAGCTGTGGGTGGCCTGGCACCATGCCCCAGTCTCTGTGTTGAGCCAGGGGTTCCCCCATCCCAGAGCCCAGGCCTTGGTCCTCTGGGGTGTTACTCCGGTCATGTGTCCCCCCAGTCCCCTGTCCATTGCCGCAGAGGATCACCAAGGGTGCTTAGAGAAGGGGCTGACCCCCTTCCACACCCCATCCACAGCGCTGTCCCGAGGGAGTCCATGTTCACGTGCTGGCCAGTTTCAACTCTTGATTGTTGGTGGTATTAATAATGTGTGTAGGGACACCTGGTTTTATTACCTGGGGTGGACGAGCATTTTCCCACATGACAATTAGAATCTGTTTATTCCTTTTCAGTGTTCAAATGGATTCAGGGTGTATTTTTGTAACTTTTTTTTTTTTTTGGACACACATACGATCAATCTCCAGACACACATGCACTGTCCTCACACACTCAGGGTCTTTCTACATTTTTTTTAACACATGTTTTCTGCATGTATTTCAAATAATATTTAAAAAAATTGCAAATTATACGCATTATTTGTAACAGCAGCCTTGGAAAAAGCACAGCTTAAAAAGCGAAAGCTCCCTTCTGTCCTCCTCACCTGCACAGGTGACCTTTCTTTATGTATTTCCTGGGAGTGAGCTACCAGTGGAGCGACAACCCCGCGCCGTGGACGGCGCATGCGCAGGCTGCTCCCCGCGAACTTAAGGGGCCCCGCCAGCGTCGTGTCCTCAGATGCTCCCTAACAGCCAGGATTCCTGTTCCTACCAACAACACAGAGGAAGAACACAGACTTCTGGGTCGCCACTCACCCTTGTGTATCTCTTTGTTTAGCTGACTTCCCGGAAATGCCACCAGTGTATTGATGCTTTTCTCTTCCTTCTTAGTCCCTCAGTCCAGCAAGAGTGTGCCCAGCACAGCTGGCCCCGAGGGTGAACTTGAACCAACTGCCTGGGAAGCTCGCTCTGAAGCCTAGACTTCAGTCCTAAGCTTAGCCACCTGAGCCTCCCCGCGGGTGCCGTTTGCAGCCCGGTGCAGTGGCGGTCACTGTGAGGAGGTCAAGTTCAGCAGAAACCATTTCCTTTCAGGCCCAGGAAGGGGATCGGTGGGGACAGGGTGATGTTTGGGCTCCAGGCTGGGAAGGGCAGGGACCACAGGAGACTGCCAGTCCCTCGTCTTGGGAATTCCCCAGCAGGGGAGTCTCCAGCCAGAGTGGAGGGTGCCAGGTGTAAGCAGGAGTGCGGTGGACCTGTGTGGGTGTGGGAGGTGACAGGGGGAGGAGCAGGCAAAGAAGTCAGATTGGATTAGAACCTGGTTGCAGGACCCCAGCCTTCAGCCCCCAGAAACTCAGGCCGGGGCAGGGGGCCTGCAGGCCGAGAGGGGCTGCGATGAATCCAGGGAGGGCCTGAGGGCAGGAGGTAAGAGCCCCTCCTTCTGGGCTGGGGCTGTTACTGACTGCTCCCCTCTCTCAGCATTTGTCGGGTGGTGTACAGACGTGCTTCGCCCCAGTGTTTTCTTGCCTTTCTTTCTTCTCCTGGGTAGTCTGTGTCCTGACCCCACAAACTTGTGCCTAGGGAGTTGATTTTAGTGGAGGGGGTGAGGGCCCTGGCTCCGTCCCCATTCTAACCCTCCTCCGTCTGCCCTTAGTCCACTTGGCGGCACTGACCTCCACCTGTGCCCTGAGACACCCCCACCCGCTCCCAGGCTCACATCCCTTCCCCTGCCTCCCGTCCCTCCTGGAGATAGCTGCTCCATCCTTCCTTCCTGAGGTTCAGATCAGTGACCCCAGGCCTCTCCGACCGTCATTTCTCACCCCTGAGCCCTGCTGTGGCTTCCGACCCTCTGTGAGGGAAGCCCCCGGCTCTGCCTCCCTCCTCTGTCCTCCTCCAGGCCCTGCTCTGCCCCTCTTCTAGCCTGCTCCATCCTCCCCAGGCCTCCCTCCGGGAAGGTCCTCCTTCAGATGTCACCGTGTTACTAGGCCCACACTGACCACCCCATTTACAATTGCAACTCCCCCACCTGGCCTGTCCAGTCTCCAACTTGCTACACTTTTCTTTTTTCCACAGAAAAACATGGTTTATTACCCACTAGAATGTAAGCTCAGAAAGGAAGGGAATTTTGTTTTGGTTTTTTTGTTTGTTTTGGTTTTGTTTCCTGGTCTGTGAAGCCTCCTGGACAGTCAGGAGCCCAGAGCTGGCTCCCCGCAAAGAACTATCTAGTGACCCAGGGGTCTTGTGCCTCAGCCCCATGCATGCACTGACGCCGTCTCCCCGAGCGAATGCTGCTGTCTGCCCTGCTCCTGGTTGAGCTGGGCTCGGGGCTGGGGGTCAAGGATGGCTGGCCGGGGCCTGCCCGAAGGTGGACGAGGGGGCTGGCCTCTGTCCTCACAGAACAGCAGGCCCACCAGCGCAAATGGTGCCGATTCTTTGGAACATGAAGGGTTCCCGGAGTCTCCTGGCCCCATGGAGAAGCTGAAGCCTAGAGAGCGGGGATGCAGCTATGGTCACAAAGTCCACTGGGGCCGAGGCCCAGGCCTCAGGGAAGAGACTCCTCAGACTCAGGCCGCTCCCCTCCGCTGAGGCCTGAGACCCAGCCCCTAGGAGCTCCAGGACAGTGAGGTGCATGGGTCCACATCCTA